CGGGGGTCCGGTGGGGGTCGTCTGACGGGGCCTTCTCGCTTCGCTGCAGGACGAGCCGCGCCTCGACCTTCCGGCCGCCTTCACGGAGCACTGGAAGGGCGTCACCCGCTATTACCTGGAGGCCTCAGGTAGGAGGTTCAGCCCGGCCTCCGGCCCTGGGATTTCCTCGTGGTTTCCCGTCCAAGTAGTAACCGGGCGGAGTCCGGTTGGCTTCCAGACCAGTCCGAAAAGCCGGGGTGGGGGAAAGGATCGGTGGCCTCAGCTGCCGCGAGTCGGGCGGTGGAAGGCGAATCTAGTTTTCTGTCCCGCTCGGGCCCTGGCTGGTGTTCTCCCCCCTCAGTTAATGCTGAGCCTGTAGCAGCGACTCTGATCTTAACAATGCCCAAATAGGGTGCTGATGATGTTCTGTCTTTTCCCAAGATGAAAACAAGCCGGCAAAGCAGACGGATATTCCTTGGTGCTTAAAACAGATGCTGGACATCCTAGTCTTCGAGGAGAAGCAGCAGCCAGAAGGAGAAACAGGACCCTGCCTGGAGTACTTGCTGCAGCACAAAATCCTGGAGACGCTCAGCACTCTGGGGAAGGCAGAGGTGGCTCCCGTTCTCCTTCCTTTTGCCAGGAGCGATAGCAGCATGATGTGGGGTGGTTCAGGGAGTTTCCTGAGGCCTTTTCCAGTCATAACTCAGGCATTCATTTTCCTATTAGCGAAATTCCCTGTTCTGGCCTGTTTGGCATAATTTCCAAATTCTGCTCTCTTCTGGGATTCTGCATCTAAATATAGGTCATTCTTCTTCCAAAAGAGTGATTTATCAAGATAAATCTTTTACCATGGCTTCATTTTCATTTTTGTTTGTTAAAGTAAACAAACAAAGTAAAAAGAAGTTACTTCAAAGCCACAGGACTGATAATGAGTGTTCTGTGGTAAACAGGGTGAAGATTGTAAACAACCGATACCTGTTTCCTGATGTTTGTTTTCAGTCTAATGTTCAGCAAACTATCACTGTGCTACTGCTAGCAAAGTAATATAGTCATTGGGATCTTTGAACATTTTTGATGATGAAAAGCTTAGAGAAACTTTGAGGAACTTTTCCTAATGTCAGCCTTGTTTCTCTGCTTCCCACAGTATCCTCCCGGAATGAGGTCGCAGGTGCTTCTCTTTTTCAGTCGCCTGCTGGGGCAGATGCAGAGCCCTCTCTTGCATTACTTCAATGTTTACCGGCCTGTTCAGGTGAGGGCCTTTTTAGAGGCTCAGCAGTTTGTGTCCATTTTGAAAATAAAGCAAATTTGCACCATTCTGCCTCTGATAATCATGGGAAACTTGAAAATACGTCCATGTTCAAAGGCTGTGGGGTATTCCTAAAGCATCTCTCTATTTACTGATTTTGCCCCACCTTTCAATCCTTTTACAGAAACTTCTTCAGCTTCAGGGTGATGCGTTGGGCCCTGAGCCTGAGAAGGAAGTGCTGCAGTTTATTGCTGTTCTGTGTACCAAAATCAGGCAGGAACCTGCTCTCCTACCATATGTCTTAGAGGTAAGGGATTGTTGGAGGTGCCAATCCTTTTCACAGTGTGTGTGTCAGCCCTGTGGGGGTAGGTTAGGTCAGGAAATGGATGTCACAAGAAATAACTAGAACTCTACTTTATTGATACAGGCTGTAATAACTGAACCTTAAATGCCTGACAGTATTTCCCCTTCCCTCCCTCTTATACCAGAGAGAGTCAAGGCAAAGCAATTAAGTTTCTTTCTCACACTGTCTTGTTTTCCTGGGTAAGCTCATGTTTTGCTAATGGTCTCCACGTACCTTTCCACAGTCATCTCTGTGTTCCTCTACAGGGGCAGACTAGGCAGGGCTTGGCTGCCTGTAGGTGTGCAAGTGGAGAAGAAGATTGTGCCAAGTGAAAATCTGCTGCTCCTGCAGCAGCAGCCTTAGACAAGACGAAACTGCAATTCAGAGGGTATAATTGCAGTCCAACAGAGTATGGGATTAGAAAGGCTTCTTTATCATCGGTGCCTGCTCGCTTCAGTTCTGAAAGGGACAGTGGGCTGCTGTTTATCTAAAGTTCTCTGAGATGGAGCCCCAGTTACATCAGAATGCAGAAGCAGCCACTTCAGCAGAAGATACTGTTGGCTGGTTCAGATCAAAGGCCTGGTGTGGATCAAACTCCTCCAGCCATTTATAGGATTTTTCTGTACCCTAACTCTTCTGTGCAGGAAGGACTGGGTGGCATTGCCTGAAAAGTGTGTGTGTGTGTTTGTTTTTTTGGTTGTAGGGATTCAATATTTCTAGATGACTTGTCTTAGGAAATAGAACTGGTCCTTTTTGTTTAGATGGACTCATTGATTGTTATCTCCAGCAGCCAATTATTCTTGAAAGATCAGAGTGTTGTATCTGGCTGAGCTTATTGTTGTACTTGATTTCTCAGTCTAAATTGACTGTTTTCGGGGAACCTGGCCTGAACTCCTCCTTTCTCTCCCCTTTGCTTTCAAGGGCAAGCATGTGGATCAGAATTTTGGTCTGCTGGGATTGGGAGCTAAGCCAAGCATGACCTCTGGCCAGCCTCTGCCCTCCTCTGAAGAACAGGGCAGAGGCCCGTGTCCAGAGAAACCTTTGGGTGTAGCATTACTCGTGGAGCCAGCTGCTTCTGTGCTGAATTTGGTGACTTCTCTGATTGGCTTATGTAAGAGCAAGGTATGAGACTACTAGTGCTGGTAGCCCTGGGGTGCATGAAAGCTACGCCTCCTGCTAGAGGAGATGGTATGAGATTTTCTCTCCCTGCCTCTTCCCTTCCACACACAGCATCTGTAGGAGGAGATGCTGCATGAGTTGTATTTTTTCACCCTTGCAGAATAAGAAGATTATGCTAAAAGCCCAGGAGAATCTACTGCTTCTTACCAGTATGGGCCATCCAACAGCTGCCCGGGCCTTGGCCCAAGAGAGCATGCTGTGCCTTCTGGTGTCTGACCATCTCTGCACCCTGTACAATGCCATCCCTATTACTATCAACCCTGCTGATGTTGCTGCACTTCCACCAGTACAGTGGAGGTACAAAGCTGTTAAAATGTTAAGCCCACGATCTCTGCCACTGAAGGCTGGATCGTGGCCTCAAGGCAAAGAATTGGTCTAGCTTTAACTTTCTTAAGTCAAAATATTGCTATAAACATCTCTCCTTATTTCTCTACTTAGTTTTAAAAATCTTTGCACCAGATTCTCTTTATTCATTTTATTTTATTAATCAAATTTATATGTGGCCCATCTCACTGTATAAGTGACACTAGGCAGCTCACAAATAAAAAATGATAATAATAAAAATATTACAAAAATTTTACAAATCTTATGAAAAAACAAAATCTCTTGCCTTTCCTTCCTAAGAGACAACATAACCACGATGCCTTGTGGCTGCATTCACCTTGTTACTGAATCAACTTATTTTCTGGATTTGCACAGTATAGCAACTATAAAGTAACAAGATAGGTTAAATAAGCTTTTACGTTTTGCAAATCTGCTTGGTCTTTACGTGAGCCTGTTTTGTGTACAGGTAGTCCTTGACTTACGACCATTTGTTCAGGAACAGTTCTGATGGCACTGAACAAATGGTGGTTACAATCAGTCCTCAGAGTTCTGACCATCCCAGCACCCCCGCACAGTGACGTGATCATGATCTGGGCGCTTGGCAACCAGTTTGCGCTTACAACTGGTTGCAGCACCATGCGATCGACCTTCTCTGCTGGCTTCCCCAGAAAGTCAATGGGGAAGCCAGCAGGGAAGGCCACAAGTCGTTGGGTAAGTCTCCCTTACCCATGCACCCTCCCCCAGCCCCTCTGTGCTCATACTGGCCACTTGTGCATACCCGCGCATGCTTCCCGACTTGTGCCACAGCCGACCCACACTGCACCCTCACACACCCTCTCTGCCTCTTGCCACACCTTGCACACACCTCCTCACCCACTCTCCCTGTCAGCCCTCCCAAGTAAACCAGACAGAAACACGATCAGATGAGCTAGTTCTACTTTATAGTTAGGCTACATTAACAGAATCTTGCAAGTCTGAAGGTACAAATCTCCCACTCTCTCTTTTTACTGCCTGATCGGTTAGGGCGGATCCTTTCTAAGTTTCTTTCTCTGCCTGTTACTCAGTTGCAGGCTCAGCTCCTCCCCCTTTTATCTGATTGTTCCCTAGGCAGCAACTCTTCCCCCCTCCAATCTTCCAAGGTCATTGCGCTCCCCAACCTGCGCCACACCTCTCATGTACCTCCTCATCCTTGTGCACTCTCCCTGAACCACGTTGCACCCTTGTGACCCCCCTCGTGCACCCTCTGTGACCCACACCGCACCCCCTTGCACACCCTCCCTGACCCGCACTGCACCCTCATGCACCTTCTGCGATCCACGCTGTACCTCTCTCACACTTCCTTGCATCCTCCCTGCCGCTCACCACACCTCGCACACCCTCCCCAACCCACACCGTATGCTCATGCAGCCTCCCTGAACCTCACGGCGCCTCTTGCACACCCCCTTGCACCCTCCTCAACTCTCGTGCACCCTCCCTGACCCTCGCCATGCCTCCCCCGCACCCCCTCACTCCCTCCCCCACCCAGTAGCAGCCACTTACCTGCCTGCCAGCCTGGGACTTGCAATTTCCTGTCAGCTTCCCCACTGACTTTGGTTGTGGGAAACCGGCAGGAAGTTACCTCACCTAATGACCCTGAGATCCAGTTAACAATGGCAACCAGGACTGCAGGGATTGCTGTTACTAAGTGGTGCGGTTGCATTTTATGACTGCATCCACTTAGCTATGGAAATTCCAGTCCCAGTTGCCGTCATAAGTCGTGGACTATTTGTATTTAGGCTATACATGCTCACTTTTTTTTAAGGCTTCCTGTGGCTATACTAGGTAATAACTGACTTGGTTGGTTTTTGTTTTTTACTGAATGCATTACACGGGAAGTGTGTGGAGAATGGGAGAATGTTTCCTGCTCAAGAGGCAGGATAACAGCCACATTCACATAGTTTGTCGGAGACCTGCAGAAATTTCATCAGGAGACAAATTACCTTGCCACCCGCTCAAGAAGGTGTTGGCTTCCCATCTTTCTGGTCAGCATCTTGCTCTTCAGCAGCTACCCATGTTGCAAATCCAAGTCCAAGTGAAAGGGCCTGGATCAGATTTAAAGAAAAGGCTACCTGGGCAAATGGTGTGATGTAGTGATTCAAGATCAGACAAGGACTGTAAAGATACCTTAGTAGGATGACTGAGGGTCAGCTTGACACACAAACACACTATAGGGAGGAAAACATTGGCAGGTATGAAAACCCACAGTTCATCTGGCTAGCTTCCTGATGAAACTTTCTGCCATCCATTTCCCTGACTTTGGTTCCTCTTTTCTCCCGCCCCCAGCAAAAGGATGCCAGCACGATTGGTTGCAGTTGGGTTGAGTCTCTCCTCTTTTAACTTTGCAGGCTTCCGAGGGATACCTGTGTTGAGGAAAGCTCCTTTCCAGGAGAATACAGCCTTCAGGCTTTCTTTGGCTGGCTGGATTTTTGTGACTGTCTCACAAAAGAGGCTCATCCTGTACGAAACCTCTCCCCATGCCCTTTTCCTCTGCCTCCCTGGTCTTGGTCTGCTTGCTGGCCTCCAGGTGATGAGTGCATCATTAGGGTGGGATGGGGGGTGGGCTGGACTGATTAATTGTGGCTGTGCACCCCATCAGGTTATTGGAGATGCTATGAGCAAAACTGTGGGCCAGAGGCTCTTCCTGGAAACCTTACAGCCTCACCTCTTGCAAATGTAAGTTTGGGCTGAGTGGACACCAACCAGCTTGACTGCAGGTGCCACGTTGCCAGGGAGCTCAGATGGAAGCCACAGCCAAAGGGCAGCCCTCTGCTCAGTGTGTCCTTTCTTGGCAGGTCAGAATCTGGGATTCTCTTTTCAACAGCCATCCTGACAGGCCTGGTGGGGCGGATTTGTGCTCCTGCCCTCCTCCGGCAGCTGGTTGGGTTTGTGCTAGGAGCAGAAATGGATCCTGTCAGGCCCAGAGATTCAGCTTGGCAGCAACAGGCATCCAACTTATGCTCACACCTGATTGAGAACTGCAACCATCCGTCTGATGAGGTGAGCCAGGGCTGTGCAGAGAAAGTTTGGCCAGGCTTGGGCCTCGGATGGACCCCTTGCCAATTCCATGTCAGTTCTACAAGAACTGCAATACAAGTACAGCCCCCCATCCCCACCCCCCAGGACTTGAATCCATCAATATTTTGAATGCTAGGAATTACCTCTGCAACAAGCACCTGAGAGTGTATGCAAAGCATCCTTCTCTCTTCGCTGAGGCCCTGGTGCTTCCAGATGAGAGTCGAGGGGAAAGATCACTGTCTGAAGAGCACAGCTGGCTAAGCAGAATTGGGCTTGGGCTGTACTTTTCCATTCGAGCTCTGTTGCAGCTTAGAAGCTCTAAGTGGTCAGCAAGGAAATGAGAGCACCTCTATAAAGGGGTCTTAAACCTTAGCCAGCTGTGCCTCCTGGCTGAGGATTGGGAGCTTTTGGGAGTTGTGGTCGAGCTTTAGATTCCAGTTTACTCCAGTACCCCAGAGGGGAGGAAACAGTGTCTTGCCGTTGACTTAAGCTGCAGCAGCCCGTGGCCAGAAAGCTGGCTTTCATCCATGGTGTCCACGACCTGAGTGACTTGGCTTGGCTCTTGGAGCCGCGCAGACTTTCTTCACCGAGCCCGACTATTCACACTTTCCTCCTTGCTGCAGATCAGTATGGCCACCCTGCGATTGTTTGAGGAGCTGCTTCAGCTTCCTGATGAGCGCATTTTGCAGAGCCTGGTGCTGTGCCATCTGGAGGAGCGCAGCTACATCCTGAGAAGTCCACCTGGGCAGGAAGAACCTGCCGTCCGTGAGCAAGAGTCCTGTGAAGATGGGCTGTAAGTGGCTTAGGGAAGGAGTGGATGGCACCTTGTGGCCTCCACATCTGTGCGTGGGAAGGAGAAGGTGGGACACTTGCCACCCCTGTATGCTTTTTAGCACTGGGCTGACCCCTTTTGTTCCTATGAGCCATTTTCAATGGGTTGAAACCACTTTTATGGTTCCCAGTGATACAGTGTTAGCATTTGTTTACACTTCGCCACAAGAAGCTCAGAGCCTCCCCTCTAGCTTACAGACTAAGGCAATGGTGCGGGAAAGAAAGAGGAGGAAAACCAGTTGTTCACAGCCAGAACCTAGGAGAGGATCTCCTTCAGTTCTGCTGGATTGGGCTGATTTCTTCTTGTTTCTGCTCAAGCAGTAGCTGATGAGCTTGGATTCCAGGGCTGATTTACAGACCAGTACACGCTGCATGTCAGTTCTCCTTTCCTGAGGCAGCAATGTTGAAGTTGGCCTACATTGTTAAATATTTGTTTTTTGCTTCTTTAAATGAAAGTATAGCCTGTAATTTTGAAAAAATGGTCAAGGCTGGCCTGTTCCGTATCCCTGCAGAGACCTAGAAGAAGATCCTTACTTCGCAGACGGGTTCCCAGCAGCTGTCCTCCAGAGGCCCAGCAGGCCAGCCATTTCAGCTCCAAAGGAGCAGGCCAGCCAACCAGAGGGGCCTGTGGATGTGAAGGAGGCGGTCAGCAGGTACAGCTACTACAGAGCAATGGTGGGGAGTTGCATCCCTAGCTGGAATACAAAGAAACAAGTCCACTACCACAGATGATTGAGTTGCACTGCCTAAATTACCGAGTTTGGGGCTCTGCAGCTGTGAACATCAGAAGGGTGTTGCCTAAGAGTGTATTATGCATAAGCTTGAAACGAAGCTTATGCAACATACATCCACATGTATAGTACCGTGCAAAAGTTTTAGGCAGGTGTGAAAAATTGCTGTAAAGTAAGAATGCTTTCAAAAATAT